ATCACAATAAAAAAAAAAGCTAAAAAAAAAAAAAAAACTTAAAAAGAAAGTCCCATGTCACTTGAAACTCAACATGTGGGAAATCAAAGTCATTGTTTCCCCCTTAAAACCTATTTTCCTATGTTCTCTGCCTCAGCCCTTTGTTGCCAAAGTTGGAACACCCAGGTAGTGTTGTAGATACTCGTGATTAGCCAGCTTGGCTAGGCTGAATAAAACTCAGGATTCCCTCTTTACCTCTCTGGTTCATTTCTGGATAGAGTGGGCTGTGAGCAGCCGTTGGTACCATACACACACCTCCACCTATTCATTCATTCAAACACTAGTCTAGCAGTTGTTGGGAAAGGATTTTGCAGATGTAACTAATTGGTTGGCTTTGAGTTAATCAAAAGGAAGCTTATCCTGGGTGGGCCTGACTTAATCAGATGGAAGCTCTTTAAAAGAGGGCCTACTCTGTAACACATGGGATCACTATGAGTCCAAATTGGCTTGATGGTACCTAAAAACAGCATATCTATATCTCCCTGCTTCTCTGCTTGTCCCTGACTGATACAGTGTTTCTTCTACACCCAATCATTTAGCAAATCCTAAGATTCTGCTCGTTTACAAGGTTTTCACTCTGGGCCCCTGCTCTCTGTTCTGGTGCATCTGCGTTCATTTGAGCCCCCACTTCTTGCCTAGGTGATGGGGCTCCCTTCCAGCTGGTCTCCCTGCATCCCGAGAGGTCCTACCCCACCCTGTTGGTTCTCATGCCCAGTGTGTCCCTTCTAAAGCACAAATGTGATCTTGCCACGCCCCTTCTGAAAATCCTTTGATAGCTTCTTGAAACTTCAGGCAAAAATTTAAAAGCCCTAACTTTGCCATGGGTTCCAGAGCCCAGTTATAGGCAAGAGCGCCAAAATGACTCAGGCTGAATTAAAATCCTGTCTCTGCTACTGGCTAATGCTATACGACCTGGTAAAGTTACTTATCTGTACCTCCATTAAATTAAATGCAGTTAAATTAAAGTATCTGCCTCCTGGGGTTATTTGTGAAAATGCATTGAGGCAATGTGGGCAGTATCTGATGGTGAGAGGTGCTCAGGGCCTCTGGGGCTCTGTCTTTGGGGACAGTCCTCATTTTTCCTCCATCCTTAAGTCCACAGTTTTGTGAGTGAGCAGGATGCAGGCTGACCTGTCTGGCTTTAACATTGATACTCCCCGTTGGGACCAGTGCACTTTCCTGGGGCGGGTGAAGCACTTCTTCAATATCACGGACCCCCGCACAGTCCTAGTGCCCGAGCGGGAGCTGGACTGGGCCAAGCTGATGGTGGAGAAGAGCAGGTGAGTGGATGGGGAGGGGGCTGGATTGATGGGGTCCCGAGGGAGGAAAGACCCCAGGATCGGGGGCTCAATGAAAGCAGGATGCCTGAGGACTGGGAGGCATCAGGGCTGGGCAGAAACTGCCTGAAGGCTGGCTCTCATCTTTGCTCTTGGTGGCAGGATGGGAACCATGCCCCCAGGCACCCAAGTGGAGCAGCTGCTATATGCCAAGAAGCTGTACGACTCGGCCTTCCACCCTGACACTGGGGAGAAGATGAACGTCATTGGGCGGATGTCTTTCCAGGTCCCTGGGGGCATGATCCTCACAGGCTTCATGCTTCAGTTCTACAGGTGGGACTTGGAGCCAGGCAGTGAGGGGTGCAGCTGCCTGGACCTGGTAGGCAGGGAGCCGTATTGTGATCTGAAGAGTAATAGCTGTCTTTATTGATTGCTTGGAATCCCTGGGTGGTGCGAACAGTGACCACGCCTGGCTGCTGACTGAAAGGTTGGCAGTTCAAGTCCACCCAGAAATGCCTTTAGAAGAAAGAGCTGATAATCTGCTTCTGAAAAACCAGCCCCTGAAAACCCCATGAAGCTCAGGTTCTCTGACACATGGGGTCGCCAGGAGTCGGAATTGGCTTGATGGCAGCTGGTTGGATGTATCGCTCCCTTAGCAGATACTGGGCACTGCGCTAAGCTATTTGCATGCATTGACTCAGTTAACCATGTCAACAACCCTACAGGTAAATACTGTGATCATCCCCAGGTTATAGATGATGTCCTGCGGTTCTAGAGTAGTTACTTGTCCAAGTTCACATGGCCAAGAAATACTGGTGCCTGGATATTAACCTCAGCAGTCCTCTCTAGAGCTCTCCATTAACAGCTATCCTAATTCTTTCTTTTCAAAGTACTTAGTCAACAATGGATTTAATAGGTTTTTTTTTTTTTTTAATATAGAGTGCAACTTGAAAATTAGGACACTGGAAAGAACCTTTCTCTCAGTGCAGTTGCAGATGTATAACTGCTGGATGTTTGACTTTCATCCCCCTCTGCCCTCCCCTTCAGACTCCTTTATTCAGTCAGCCTTTACTGAGCCCAGCCTGGTGCGGTTGTTAGGAATATAGACTTAATCCCTTCCCTCAAGGAGCTCGCAATTTTGCTAAGACCAGGAAGTAAACACTTAAATACAGCTTGGTACGGGGTAGGTTGGGGGAAGGATACAGGGTGGTGGAGCAGGAAGCCTGGAAAGACTAACCCTGTCTCAGGGCGGGCAGAGGAAGGATGGGAAGGTTCCAGAGAGGATGTAATTTCTTGGCTGGATTTTTCCAGGTGTGGAAGGAGGGAGGGGGTATTCCGGACAGCCTGAGTAAATGCCCAGTTGCATCAAACAGCATGGGAGCAGTTTGGGGAGCTGCAGATGACGTGTCTTGGCTGGCGTACACCAAACCTTCCATCCTCTTCCCCTCTGCCTCTCTTGCCTTCCTTACTGGTAGGACGGTGCCGGCGGTGGTCTTCTGGCAGTGGGTGAACCAGTCCTTCAATGCCTTAGTCAACTACACCAACAGGAATGCGGCTTCCCCCACGTCAATCAGGTATACCCATTCCAAATGTGTTCATTCATTCATTCACTCATTCATTCATTTTACAGATATATCTTGAGTGTATGGTTCTGGGTGCTGGGGGTCCATTGTTGAGTCAGACAGGTGTGGTCGCTGCTCGCTTAGAGTTTAAGGTCTAACAAGAACACAAGCACAGTGCTCTCATGTGCTTGATGCCATTAAGGAAATAGGGTGACAAGATCGAAAACAGTACAGGGGATGGTCTATGTAGATAGGCTGGTTAGGAAAGTCCTGTTGGTAGAGAGAACATTTCAGTTGAGTTCTGAAGGGTGAGGATTCAGCATGCAAGAGCCCGGGGAAGAATTCTGCAGATAGGGGACCATGAAGTGCAAAGGTTCTGATGAAGCTAGGTCTGATCATACTGAGTTGTACAGGCCTGAAGCCTCATTTCCACACTCTGTCACTCAAGCCCGTGGTCTTGCCCTCAACCAGCAGGGCTCCCCTACCCCCGTCAAAACATCTCTCTCTTCCACTAGGCAGATGGCTCTTTCCTACTTTACAGCTACAACCACTGCCGTGGCCACTGCCGTGGGCATGAACATGTTGACAAAGGTATGATCTGGGATGGCTGTAGACAAGACTGGCCACTAGGGGGCAGCAAAGTCCTAGGGAAAATAGCCATTTCTGCAGGCTGGGTGAATTGGTTATGGCCAGAGAGTTGAGAGACAAGTTGTAAGAAGTGTAGCAGGGCTATCCTAGGTTGGTCCTTCTCAGGCCTTTGACGGACTTTGGGGTTCCCTGATTTGGTGTGTGGCAGTACCCAAAAATTCATTGCCATCAAGTCAATTCCAATTCATAGCAGCCTCATAGAAAAGAGTAGAACTGCCCCATAGGGTTTCTAAGACTATAATCTTTGTGAAAGCAGGTAGCTACATCTTTGTCCCACAGGGGGCTGGAGGGTTCAAACCACTGACCTTTCAGTTAGCAACCAAGTGCTTAACCACTGTGCCACCAGGGCTGTAATTTTATAGACCTTCATCTTCCAGTGTGCCTGACGACTCCCATTGTTCCCTTCCCCTAACAGAGAGCTCCGCCCCTGGTGGGCCGCTGGGTGCCCTTTGCTGCTGTGGCAGCAGCTAACTGTGTCAACATTCCAATGATGCGACAACAGTGAGTACAGGGGTCTCTCTTCCTTTCTGTAAACCACACGGTTCCCAGGGCAAGGGCAAGGAGTCAAGGCAGTGGGCAGCTTCTTGGGACTGAGATGGGTTGAGGGGAAGGCTGCAGGGCTGAGCCTCTGAAGGGTCCCTGGGGATTGCACCCACCCTCCTGGGAATGGTGGGTGACTTAGGTTGAGTCTTTGTAGTGAGTGCTGTGGGACTCACTTCCTGGGTGGAGAAAATAGTTTATACCTGAAGGGGTTTGTTCTAGAGTCGTTTCACCTACAACTGTGTTGTTTAAGTTGTGAACGTTACCTACTTCCAAAGCCTTGGGGATGACTCACAGGCTGAAATGGAACAGAGCAGGGTGTCTAAAGACAGAACAGAACCAAGAAGTTCTGAAAGAATCCAGAGTGCCATTAGCTAGGTGATTTTGAGACCTGGCCCTAAGATTTCAGCAGGGCAGGTAAGAGCGGAAAGTCATCGTGTCTTACGATTTTTGTTTCTTGATTAGACAAAGCATAGATGTTCCTCCGTTAGCAGGATTTAATGAGGTAATATGTACATGAAGTGCTCAAAACAAAGCCTGGAACACAATACATGCTGCATAAGTGTTAGCACCAGTGTCATTATTGCCACCAAGAGCAGCAGCATCTGCCAGCCCTATTTTCTTGGGACTACTAGCAGACAGAAGTGTGTCCCAGTTGCCCCTGGAGGAACAGCACCACCAGGATCGGCATGCATACATACTGCTCTCCTCCTTCCCCTCCTCTAGTTGCACTTTCCCAACAAATGAATGAGTCCCATCTGCCTACCTGGTCTTGGGTGTGTGCTGTCAAGAACTGGCTTGAGAACAGTAGCCATGATAGCTGCGGTCTATGGAATACTCATTGTATGTCAGATGCTAGACTAAGTACCTTTAGGTACTATCTTAAACCCTCACCAAGTCCTACGAAGTGGGTGCCATCATGATCCCCATTTTTCAGATAAGGAAAACTGAGACTTTAGAGGGTATAGTTAACTCATCAACTAGAGGTCCGGGGATAGTTAGGGTCACACACTGCAGTTCCAGGATCCAACCTAGAAGTCCAGACCCCCGCACCAGCTCTCTTGGCTACTGCCCTTGATCACTTCTGAGATACCGTTCAGTGGAGTGCGGAAGGAAGGTCAAAGGACCAGGCTGCAGGCGGTGGCTTCCTAGAGCTTGGGTGCCCTGGCCTTGATCTCCTGGTGTGTCAGGTAACTGGCCGGGTTCCAGCAACTCCTGTCTGTGTTTAGGGAACTCATCCAGGGCATCTGCTTGAAGGACAGGAATCACAATGAGATTGGTCACTCCCGGGTGAGCAGAGGCCTCCCTTTGGGGTGGGAAGAGGGATTTCCCTCTCATACCCTTCCCCCTACCTTGTGGTCATAGCCAGCCTGGTCTCCAGATAGGATGGAGGAGCTTTCTCCCTGACTCCATCCTCATTCCCCATTGATTTCCCCACATTTCTCTGTTCAGAGCAGGCCTCCCATGTCCTTTCTTCATCATTTCTGGTCCTAAAGCCATATAAGTCTGGCTGGTTGGGAGAAGGTTGAGTGAGGCCAGTCATTCCCTGGCAGGTCCATCCCTTCCCCTTCACCAGCTCAGACTTAGCCATGACCTTCACCCAACCCTCTTGTGTGGCCCCATATACACTGGGTAAGGTTATTCCTAACTACTTACTCTTTTCTGTCCTCAGAGAGCTGCAGCCATAGGCATCACCCAAGTGGTTATTTCTCGGATCACCATGGCAGCCCCTGGCATGAGTAAGATGGGGAACCCCTCCGGTGCTGGGGGCCATGAAGAACATGACTGAGGCCTTGGGCATACTTAGCTTTCGGGGGGAGGTGGGGTCCCAGCGTCTACAGCCATACTTCCCAGACTGGTCTGCCTGGGTGCTGAAAGCCACAGGAGAACCACCCCATGGCTACAGAACATCAGTTAATTAGAGATTTTGGGGAGAAAGTCATATCCATGAAGCACATATTCATCAAGCACCTTCTAGGTGCTGGACACAGTGCTGGGTGCTAGGGAGATGGGTGGAGAGAAATTACCTGCCTGGTGGAGCTCCCCTGGGGGTGTTACAGAGGAGGATACAAAATGTATTTACAAGGCTTTCAAAAACATTCTTGAGTTTTGAGAAGGTTGCTTTGGGTCTAGAGGTCCATGTCATACTGTAATTACAGGTGTGTAGGTTGAAAGGTTTGGGTTGTATTGTTCTGCTGGGACTTGGAGAGAGCGGTTGGGGTGGCCATACCCCACAGTATTCTCCCACATGGAAAGTATTCCTGGAACTTCTGGGGAAGAGGGAGGTCACTTGGCCCCTGGTCTGATGTCAGAAGGGCTCTAGGACAAGGCTTACTGCCCTCCCCTCAAGTTCTCCCTGGTTTCTTCCAGTCTTACTGCCAGTCCTCATGGAAAGACTGGAGAAGTTCCATTTCATGAAGGTGAGTGGCATTTTCTTTTGTCATCATCTTTCCTGCCCCTTGTCCTCCAACCACACCTGTACATGGGGGCTTCTGACCCACTGGTCCTGCCCTCTAGCTGCCGTCCCTTCGTCTCACTCAAGTCATTAGCTGTCCCTGTGACCATCTGTGTTAGACATCATAGTGGATTTCTTGACCTTGTCTCCAGAGAGCAAGGCGAGCAGGAGGAGTCCCCCTCTTCTCCCATTCTGCAGGGCGAGGCATTCTATGCCTGTGGGCTTCTCTCACCAGCTACTGATTGGTGGCAAAGGCAGATGTGGGGTTCACCTTAAGGTATATACATCCCATGTGGGTCTCTCTTCTGTTTGTTTTTGTGCAGAAAGTCAAGGTCCTGCATGCCCCATTGCAGGTCATGCTGTGTGGGTGCTTGTAAGTATCCTGTTTGATGGTTTGGGTTCTAACCTGGCTGGGGACCCAAGATCTGTTTTCTCATGGAGCTTGTGTTAGAGAAATGTGCTCCTTTATCTGCCTTTAAAAGTGGCCGAGGTCCCAAGTTTGCTGGTCTGATAGAGCCTGCTAAGACCCCTGACACTATGGCCCCTAGTTACCCTTCAAGTCTAGAACTGAACTCATTCCTGTGGCTTCCAGCCAAACAATAGACAGGCATATGGGGTGAACATTTACATCAGGTAGATACACTCCTTAGAACCATCAATCATGGGAGAACAGAAGGGCAGTATTTGCACAAGGAGATAGCTCAGAGGGCGGGAGTGCATGGGAGGGAAGGACACGGGGAAGAGGTAACTACAGGGAGGAAGTAGGAAGAGAGCTGTTACATTGTGGTGAATGGCAGTCAATGTCATGAAACAAAATGTGTATGAACTGCTGTATGGAAAATTAATTTGCTCTGTAAATTTTCACCCAAATCACAATAAAAATTAAAACAAAAAAAATGGCTAAGCTCAGGAAAGCTGTGGTCCATCTGGAGAGCTTTCACCACATCTTTTTATTTTCAAGGGCTGGTTTTTTCAGAAGTAGGTTGCCAGGTCTCTCTCCAAGATGCCTCTGGGTAGACTTGAACCCCCAGCCTTTTGATTAGCGGCCATGTGCATTAACTGTTTGTACCTCCCAGGGACTCCCTGTGAATGGTTATTGTCCCCTTTTATAATGAAGTAATGGGAGAGAAACTTGCCCACATGTATATAGCTGGCATTTGCTGGAGCTAATTGGATCCTTAGCAATCTTAACATCGTGCTGTACTGTCTTCTGCTGATTGGGTGGTCACCCTGGACTGGGTGCTCTGGATAAGGTAATGTCATTTAGTCCTCATGGTAACCCTGCAGGGTGGGCATACTGCCTTCCTCCGCAGGCTCAGAGTCACACAGCTCGTGAGTGACAAGGCTGGGACGCAAAGCCAGGCCTGATAGATGATCAGACTTGTTTCTCAAAATGTGGTCATCATCAGCATCGTCTGAGGACTTAGAAATAAAGGCTCTCCAGTCCTGCTCCAGACCTACTGAATTAGCGCACATTTTAACAAGCTCCTCAAGTTACTTGTCTGCTCAGTGAAGTCTGAGAACCTCTGTCCCTTCCTGTGCTGTCCCAGCCTCCATGTGACTCCATGGCAACCAGTTTGGTTTGGTTGTGTTCAATGAATAAAGGAGCAGGACCGTCGGATCTGTGCCCATCACTTCCTCCCTGTACATTAGGGCCTGTCTGCTTACATCCCCAGTGACTTCATTGTCCCTTTATCTGCTTGGATTTTGGGGGCTGCTTTTCTCCCCGGGCTGAAATGAGTATCCTGGCATTGAGGGAGCAGGAGAAGGGTCGGAAGGAGGGGGTCTGTGGGGACAGCCAAGAAGGCAGGTGGAGTGAATGGGCGTCTCCCCATTTTCAGGAGCTCCGGGCAGGGGTGTGGGCAGGCCTGTGGGAAGAGGACCCCTAATGCTTTGGTTTCTCCTTTCTTGCAGCCTCATCTTCATGGTGCCGGTGGCATGTGGGCTCTTCCCACAGATATGGTATCCGCTGTTCATTCCTCACTTTGTTCTGCTGGACACCCTGCCACCCCCCTGACCTGCTTGCTGTCCTGAAGGAGTGAATGAGAGGGCAGGAAAGGCAGCCTTTGTCCAGGGACAAGTACCATTGGCCTAAATTCTGGGCCCCTTTACCTTGAGTGCATGGCAAACCAAAACAGACCTTCAGGGGGTGGGAGAAGCCAGGAGGAGGGGTGAGGTAGGCCCCTCCCAGTTGACCAAGGGCCCCTTGTAGAGCAGGTGAGGAAATAAGAAACTTTCCCTGCCAGCTGGGTTACCAGGTTCGGTCTCCTTTGGTTGGGCCTGATCTTTAAAACTGAAAAAGGGATAGTTTCTTACTCTGACTTACGATCCTGGAGGGTACTTGAACCTCTCCTTTTCTAGAATGTCCTAGATGGGGGGTGGGGCAGGGGGATTATGGAGAAGATAAGAGAAGCATCAGACTGTAGTGGGGGGAGCTGGCTCCAGGAGACCAAGTGTAGCTTGAATGTATACAGGGGAGATGTCGGTCTTCCGGTCCTCAGGACTCTTAACTCAGTCCCACCCCACTGCTGATTCCGACTCATAGCGACCCTATAGGACAGAATAGAGCTGCCACATAGGGTTTCCAAGGCTATAAATCTTAACAGAAGCAGACTGCCACATCTCTCTCCCGTGGAGCAGCTGGTGGGTTCAAACCACCGACCATTTGGTTGGCAGCCAAACAATTTAACCACTGTACCACCAAGGCTCCTTTCTGAGTTCAATCAATGCTTTGCCTGTGTATCAAACATTTTGCTTGTAAGAGCCTGTGTGCCCATGGGGTAAACAAAGAACTTTAGCACCAGGAAGAGGAAGTCGGCCTGAGTGGAGGTAAAAGCAACCTATTGTGGTGCACGGAGGCCATTGTGAATTCTGGCTGGAAAAATCAGGAAGGGCTTCTTAGAGGTGGCATTTGGCTTGGACTTTGTTGTTGTTGTTTGCCATAGAGTCGGCCCCGACTCCTAGCGACCCCTCCTTGGGTTTCCGAGGCAGTTATCACTACGGAAGTAGGATTGCCCAACCTTCCTTCCGAGGAGTGGCTGGTGGGTTTGAACCGCCAGCCTCCTGGTTAGCAGTCAAGTGCCTTAGGCACTATGCTACCAGAGCTCCCTTGGACTTTATTGGAAGGTAATTTGCTGCTTGTCCCAGGTGGTATACTCATAACCTTCTCCTTTCTTTTCAGTGAATTGCCAGTTTCCTTTCTGGAACCTGAGCTCCAAGACACCATCAGGGCCAAGTATGGAGAAAATGTGCCTTATGTCTACTTCAATAAGGGTCTCTAAACAGCCTGCTTGGCACGGACCAGTTGACCTCCAAATTCACCAGCTCCTCCTCAGCTGCTGTGCACACCTGGGCCATCATTCCTCTTTGCCTGCAATGCCTGAAGGCCAGGGTGGATTTGGGGTGGGTGGGAAGTGGCCTTATGCCTCCAGCCCAGGTACCTGGTTTATCAGACAACAGGGGATAAACAAGGAGGGGGAAGACCAAAGCCTTCTATCTGCTCCCTACCTCCAGCCCCCATTCCCTGGAGGCCAGGAGCTGAGGTCTTCTCGAGGAGAGGATGGTGATGCCTGGGGGAGATAGGCTAACCATCTGGGGGAACTAGGAGGCCTTTGGGATGCTGGGTCCCAGCCAGCATGAGGAAAGGCCCCTAGAACCCAGAGAAGCCCCTTCTCTTTCCCTTGCCCTACTTTCCTTCTCTGGGCAGTGGCACCTTCTGCGCATGCAGTTCTCATCTCACTCAGGAAGAGATGGGGAGAAGGTCTGTCACCTTGACTTCTCATCTCCATCCTTCCCCGCTTTCTTCCCATTGGCCCGTGGTCCAAAAGCTTCTGTTAAACTTGAGTTTCTCAGGCACCCAGGTTTTATTAGTACTGAAAACAGCCATCATGCCCGGGGGTGGAGTTTCATGGTACGTCAGCCCTTACCTTTTGATGATGACTTTGTTCTCTTGCCCAGAAATCATGTCTGAATCAGTTCTTGGGATCTTCTCTATGAAACTGGGAGTTTTCTTCCCCCCACTGCCTCATGTCTCTGTTTTAAAAGACAAATCCACTAACTGAATGAACAGGATATGCGTAGGCATTCACCTTACATTTTAATGAGTATAATTTCCTGGCTGCCTCCCTTCCTCAGCCTGTTGGGTTAGACACCAAAGCAAGACTGGTGTGTACTAAGTAGGAAAGGGAAGTTTTCGTTGGACACCTCCAAGAGGAAATCAACCAGGACCAAAGAGCCTTAAAGAGCACAGCAAAGCACGGTCACCTCTCTTCCCCAGCTTGCTGGCCCTCGGTGATTTCTCCAGCTCCCTAGGGAGTGTTGTGGCTTCCCTGGGGTCAGTGTGTATATGAATTTTGTCTGGTAGAATTTGCTGACTCTGTTCAAAGAATATCACTGTGAATTGAATAAATTTCTTCAAGGAGCACAATGAACTGTCTGCAAACTAAGTTAATAAAGGCTCCTGCCTTCAACTTTAGCCTTGGCATTGAGGAGGGTACACAACTATATGGGGACCCCATCTGATGCCTGGAGGCCATTGTTCATTTCCGGAATGAAGAGAGAGAAGTCCACTTGTCTTTGCTGGAAACCCAGAGGCCTCACAGAATGGGAGTCGAGTTGCCATAGAGTAGGGATTAACAAACCCTATGTCAAGGGGCTAAATCCGGCCTGCTGTCTGTTTTTGTGGGAGCTCTGATAGCATAGTGACTAAGACACTTGCCTGCTAACCAGAAGGCTGGCGGTTCAAATCCACCAGCCACTCCTCGGAAGGAAGGTTGGGCAATCCTACTTCTGTAGTGATACTGC